GGAGGGGAGGGGAGAAAGAGGGAAGGAGGGGAGGGGAGGGGAGGGAGCGGGAAGGAGGGGAGGGGAAGGTAGCGAGTGGGAAGGAGAGGGAGGGAATCAGCACGAAGAATTCGTCCCTCAGGTGGCTGAAGCATCGCGTCAGGTGCTTGACCTCCAACGTTACCATATAACTCTTCTCTCCTGCGACACGAGAAATATAGTAGCAAACAAGAATAAAGGAGGAGAAGGAAGAAAGAAGAGGAGGAGGAGAAGAGGGAGGGTAGCGAGCGGAAAGGAGAGGGAGGGGAAGGTAGCAAGCGGGAATGAGGAGAGGGAGAAGGAAGGCAGAAGAGGAGGGGAGGAGAGAGAGAAGGAAGGAGAAAGAGAAAGGAGGGGAGGAGAAGGTAGGGAGCGGGGAGGAGGGGGAAGGATCAGCACAAAGAATGCGTCCCTCAGTAGCAAACAAGAATAAAGCAGGAGGAGAAGGAAGAAAGAAGAGGAGGAGAGGGAGGAGGGGAAAGGAGGCGCATCAGGAGCAGGAGGAGGAGGATGTGGAGGAGGTCTTCTCTTACCTTCCTGTAGCGTTAGCTGCATCTCCGTCTCAGAGATCTTCATCGTCGGCCTCTTGTGGCCAAAAGTGCGGAACGACCCCACCAGGATTTTCCTGCAGGGAATGAGGGCGCCACCGCATGCCGCGGGGGCGCCACCGCTCGCGTTCGACTTCGCCTCCTTAGCCGGCGGCGCCACCTTGAGGATCACGTGGCCGTCCTGCCAACGCGAGAAAAAATTTCCGATTGGTTATTCGAGAATTAACGACAGGGTGTTGCACTCGCGGTTGCTCTACGATGTTAAAAAAAGTATATCACTTATTTATTATTATTACTATTTAACTTATTAGTTTTTTGTTTTTGTTTTTTTATATAAAAATTCAACTCGCTCTCGCTCGTTCCCGCGTTGATTACAAATTCGACCAACTGGTGGCGCCACGTTCTGTGTCGGAAGGAGAAAAACAAGCGAACAGTTAGACGGTGACTCACGTTGTCGCGCATCGCCTGGCGGCGGCCGGCGGGCAGCGGCCGAGGAACGCCCTCTATCTGATTGTTCAGCTGCTCGAGGTCCGGCACCTCTTGTTGTCCGCCTGGTGGCAAATATTGGAAACGCGGCGGTGAGCGTGGCATGGCGAGGGTTCGCCGATACTTCACAAGGTTCGTTACTGGCCCGTATACTGGTCTGTGTGCAAGCCCGTAGCCAGGGGGGGGGGGGGTCCTGGGGGCCCTAGGACCCCCCCCAATCAAAATCAAAATCCAAAATTTTAGTTTTTTCTCTCTATTTTCTTGATTTTAAAGCACTATTTTTACATTTAACTAAAAAAAACACATTTCAGACCACCAGACCCCCCCTTGTTACTCGCTCGAGGACCTCACCAATCCAAATTCCTGGCTACGCCATTGTCTGTGTGTGCGACCCTTATACCAGTATTCTCTACTTCTCCCTCTCTGCTAGCTTTCTTCGTGAACCCTTCACTTTCTATATCCGTAATCCTCCACCCTTCTCCCTCGTTCTCCTCCTACTCCCCTCTCCTGCCTTTTTACCGTATTTCCTCCTCCTCCTCGCTCCTGCTTTTCTGCCCTACCTTTTCCTCTCCCTCACTCTGCACCTCCCTCCCTCCTCTGCACCCCCCTTCTCAATCCCTCCTCTGCACCTTCCTCCCTCCTTTGCACCTCCCTTCCTCTCCCTTCTCCTTCGCCTCCTCTGCACCTCCCTCCCTTCTCTGCACCTCCCTCCCTCCTCTGCACCTCCCTTCTCCCTCCCTCCTCTGGACCTCCCTCCCTCCTTTGCTCCTCCCTCCCTCTCTCTCTTCTCCCTCCCTCCTCTGCACCTCCCTCCTCCCTCCCTTCTCTGCACCTCCCTCCCTCCTCTGCACCTCCCTCCTTCCTCTGCACCTCCCTTCTCCCTCCCTCCTTCCTTGGTCCTTGCACCTCCCTCTTTCCTCTCTCCCCCTGCCCCTTCCTCCCACCCTCTCGCCTCCCTCGCCCCCACTGCATCTTCCTCCTTTGCCCTCTCTGCACCTCCCTTCTCCCTCCCTCTTTCCTCTCTCCCCCTGCACCTCCCTCCCTCCCTCTCTCCTCTCTCGCTCCTCTGCACCTCCCTCCCTCCTGTGCACCTCCCTTCTCCCTCCCTCCTGTGCACCTCCCTCTTTCCTCTCTCCCCCTGCACCTCCCTCCCTCCCTCTCTCCTCCCTCGCTCCTCTGCACCTCCCTCCTTTGCACCTCCCTCGCTCCTCTTCACCCTCCTCCTTTGCGCCTCCCTGCTTCGCCACACAGCACAACTATAAGCTTACCGGGGCTTGCTGCGTCAGCGTCCGGCGGGGGAGTATCCGGGTAGGGAACAAGAGAGCGCTCCTCCGAGGCGGTGGCGCCCTCTGCCATCTCTTTGAGCTCCTCGTCGTCATCCGACGAAATGCACAGCAGCACTGCGACAAGAGAACAGCACTACGTTAGGCCGCCGATCATCGCGCGCGATGTAAAATAGTAACGATGTAAAATAGTAAATAAAGTATTATTGCATATAATCATGTACTCCTGATTTTGAAAGCACAGAATTTGAGAATTTAGAAATCATACATACTATCAGATCTCACATCTTTGAATAGAATCGTATTCAGTATAATGACTAAAGGAATTACTAAAAATAGAGAACACTTTTTATTTTCTATTTATGCCAGCAGATGGCAGCACGTCGACACTTCCTGCCGTGAGCCGCGGTGGGCATCTTACCCGGTTCCTTTTGCCGTCCCCCGGCCCGCCCGCGCCCGCGCGCCCTGCCACGCCCCCTGGCGGTGCCGCGCTTCTCTCCCGACGCGTTACTTGGGTCAAAGGTCAGGTCGTCGGCACGAAACGCCTTTGTCATCGCGCTCAACTTCGCCCGGTAGGTGGCGCCGACGGGCAGCGGCTTCGCGAGCGTCGGCACGACGATGCGGTACTTGTTTGCGTCGCCGCCCTGTGACGCTAGCGCCCTCTTCAGGCCGACGTCGCCGCACCTCTCGTGCGGAGGACGGTATAGTCGCGTGTCGTCCGGCAGGGGGCGCCGGCAGCGCGTGCACGTTCGCTTGTCCGTGCTCATGCCGCCGCAGTGCCGGCAGACGGCGTAGCAGCCCTGCTCGAGCGGCACCGACGGTGGCGCCACCTCTCCGGCCGCCGCCACCCCGTCCGCCGTCGTCGGAGACGGTGGCGCCACCCCGTAGAGCTGCGCGTGAAACGCGCGCTCAAAGTGCGGCTGAAGTTTCGGCACGCCGCCGGAGTCGGGACACGTGCTGCCACCTGCCTCGCGCTCGGCGATGACGGGGCTGCCGGCGGCGCCATCTGTGGTGGGAAGCGGAATCGTTATCACGGACGAATTCTCCGACGATTCGTCGGTGGCGCCCTCTGCTGTCGCCTCGGCTTCCGCCGGATGCAGCGGCTTCCTGAAACAAGAGAATTCTCCAGTACTAGACTAGCAAATACTTCGTGTCATGCATAATCCTACTACCTTATGACAAAATAAACTCTAGTTCCTCCCATTTCACTGCGCGTTGTCTTATAAAAGGTATTTGAAAATAACTCCAATGTTGTTCAAATTCTCCGATGTTGTTGACACTTTCGCATTGCTCTGCCAAGCAACCGTACAGCGAGTGTAGCAAAGATTTCTACGGCCCGTGTGCGTTTGTCGCTCGCACGCTGCTAGCGCAATGACATGTTATCGTTCGCGATATCAAGCCTAAAATCAATACGTCATTCTCAGTTTATGACGCTGCCTATTATTACTTTCCCAATAGCCATTGATGTTACATACACTGCAGTTCACAATACTACAACTATCTTAAAATGTTAATGACTATATTCTCTGCTCAACACCCGTAGCAACATGTGACGTCACCTAACCGATTCGGGGCGAAATTGCTTGGCAAACAATTCGGCGTTGGCGCCAGATTACCAGATTTCGCACCTCTTTCTTGTGGGTTTTAAGCAAACGCGCAGTGAAATGGGAGGAACTAGAGTTTATTTTGTCATAAGGTAGTGTGATTATGCATGTCATGAAGTATTTGCTAGTCTAGTACTGGAGAAATTAGCATGTACATGCGCATATTGTGGCTTTAGGATTCATGCAGTAGCACATCTGCCAAATTTTCTTTGAACATTAGCTGAAGGGAGAATCCAACGGACTCCCTGCCTTCAAAAAGAGGCAGTCCACAGAAAATAAGGGAGTCTGCAGTCTGAAGTTCAAAACCAAAGATATTAACAATAACGCATGTGCTTATTTTTAAGATTCATGCGGTTGCACGTCTGTCAAATTTTCTTTGGACATTAGCTGAAAAATTACGGTCATTCCGCGAGGCCGTGCTCTGGAACGAACTAGTTCGTATAGCAGAATTTTCAGGGAGTCACACGAACTCCTGCATATGTCAAATCAGGGAGTCTGGCAGTAAATCAAGGAGTATTTGACTCCGGACTCCCGTTAAATTCGCACCCTGCACTTGGCAGGATTTACCCCACCCCCTGGCATGATTCGCCCCCTAGGATCTTCTGGATCCGCCACTGGTATGGATGGGTTAATGCGTGCTTGGGTGGATATTTGCTTGCTTGGGTGAGAGAGCAGAAGCCAAGTCGACGATGCAGTACCAGTAGTAGGGGCCTGCATGATTGGTAAAATGCACCTAAGACTAAGGCAGCAAGTGTCGCATCAGCT